AAGTTGACAAGATTACATCACAGAGATCTGAACGCAGTAATGCTCACATTACTGCTTGGCGACAGAAATAGGTCATGTCTTACATGTTGTGTTCTATGTAAGTTGTCTACTTATTTTCAACAAGTCAAAGAAACAGCCGACCCAAGCCCCAGGCTTCTGTTGAATTTAATTAAAATAACCCTGTAATTACAGACCGATAACAATATTTCACGACCTCGTCAGTGTAGCGGTATGCTCCAGGGGTTGATCCTCGGTAAGATCAAAGGAACTTTTCTAAATTGCTTCTGATCTGTGTACTCCGGCACAGGGAATGCTCTAATTTGAATTTAATCTCAAATACAGTTTTATTTCATAGATAAACTAATTATAGTTGAAGAAATATTCTTGTCACCTCAGTAACTCGGAAAGGCTTTCTTTCTCATTAGTTTAGCATCCCTCGCTTGCTCAGGTTTTAATACAAGCACCGCGTCAAGCAACAACTTTGCATCCTCGCATAACAAATAATTATTGCACCGATGAATGTGTCACTTGCAACGGCTTATCATTCCTATTACAATAGGGTAATAAAACAATTAAAACTTTCTTTACTTAAAGCGTACACGGATTTAATGATCTTGGTCCACCATGGGTGCGCATTTAGCCTTTTTAATTCAACCTTTGAATTATTTCTTTACTCATCAGATCTCTTATTTTTTGAAACTGTAGTTACTCCGTAAAATACCGTCTACCGACCCTTTTCTTATTAATTCAGCCCCGCGTAAAGATTACACGTTCAGAGATAAGTCCAGTGCGCAAAAGTGTTTAGACTAGTTGTTAGCACGGCTCACTCTTTTGTCCGATTGTACTCGAAAGATAAAGAGATAAGACGAATCAGTGCAAATAATATTTCGTCAAGTATACTTTTGAAATCGTTACCGAAATTAAACAATAACTAATAAAATAATAAAAAGAATGGGAAGAATGAGAAAGAAACTCAAAACTTTGTACATATTTTGTCACTAACAATATTTATTTCAAATATAATAATAAATAGAGACATCCTACAAGAGCTTAACGGGACAGTATCATGGATTTTTGTAATCCAAGTCAGTGTTATTGTAATCTGTATGATAAATAACCTTTAGAGTTAAGTTTCTTTTCAATGTAGTTTTAAACCTCGTAAGTAGCAAATTTTGAATATCAACCGGAATCTTATTGTGCCGCCGCCCCGTTTGTCGAAAGGGCGCATGTGACATAAAAAAATATTGTTATTACTGCTGTGATTATAGTACCGGGTCATCAAGTTTCGTATTAATTCATAACTACGTTAAATGAGCTAATTGCTGTACGTTGTTGTCAATAGTGACGTGCAGTAAAACTTATGGAATGTGTAATTTTACCACACAACTCGGCATTTGTTGATCGAAATTCGAAATTTTAAAAAATGTAATCTAATACGATCGTCATTAATGGGATCGCTGGCCAGCACAACTTCTATCCCCGGCAACTTCGCGTCAAATCTCAATGCAAAACAAAGCAGTTTCGAATTGACGATATATTAAGTAAACATTTTTATTTTCGTCTCACTAAAACTTTTTAATCAGCTACCCCTTGCAACACTAGTTATAAATCTAAAAAGTTATAGATGTGACTCGCAACTGATTATATTTTTTTCGATAATGAATTGAGATTTGACCTCACTGTCGTAATCTGTCAAAACTGCCGTCAAAGCGTGCCGGTACTGCAACAAAAAAGGCATAATGCATTGACTTACAAATAAATGGACGACGGGTCTAATACAAAAACCACGAAAAAAATATCCCAAGTCAACCTATTTAAACGTAGTGACATGTAAAGGAATATGAAAAAGCTAAAACGTTGAATTTAAATTGTAATGTCATCGCAGTACTGTCTAATTTTGCTTGCTTCGCTGTCAGTCGAACAAACGAAGACTAAAGCGTGAATGACGCTCTGAATAGGATTTTAACGCCCTATAAGTTCGGACACTTTTTAGCGCGGACCCGACGTCCATATAATTGTAAGTCAATGATAATATGACACTATTTTAATTTTTTCCTGTGTGAGTAAGGTATAGCTTTTAATTCAATTTCTTAAAACAAATTTTCTCGGTTTCGAGTTTTTGTCACAAGCGCCCTTTCACCTAAGGGCGTCAGTATTACATTGCCCCTTAAATGAATTTGTGTCTTTGTAAAAACGACTGTCAAGAAAAGCCAGTTAATTTTTATTCCCTTTTACTATTTTTCATTTTCATTTAGACATAAATGGAGTGACTTCTTTGGGTTCTCCGGTAAAAATGGGTGTTCCGCAGGGCTCAATACTTTCTTATTTCTGATTTATATTAATGATCTACCATTCTTTGTTAAGGACCATTGCGAAATAGTGTTCTTTGCTGATGAGACATCCATGATTTTTAAAACAGACAGACATGACATTAACTATGATCATATTAATCATACCCTCTCTTAGGTAGTTTATTGGTTTAATGCTAACAATTTATTGCTTAATGCCAAGAAGACAAAATGTATTAAATTTGAATTACCTAAGGTAAAATGGACTAGTCCAAGCATAGAAAGAAACGGAGAAAAGTTAGACCTTGTTAATAAAGCAGTCTTCTTGGGAGTGACCTTATATAGTAAACTTCAATGGTTTCCACATATATCTTCCCTGGCCAGCAGATTAAGCTCCGCTGCATACGCAGTCCGCAGAATACGTGAGCTTACTGATGTTAGTACTACTAGACTAGTTTACTTTAGTTACTTCAATAGTATAATGTCCTACGGGATTCTCATGTGGGGCAAAGCGGCAGATATTCAAACCATATTTGTATTGCAAAAACGAGCGATTTGTACTGTGTACCGTCTGGACTCGCGGGTTTCTCTCAGAGAAAAGTTTAAGGAGACTGGTATCATGACTGTGGCATCACAGTACATTTACTCAAATATTTTATATGCCCGTAAAAATATACATTATTTCAATAAGAAATATTAAGTTTATCATTTCCTAAGTTTAAAAACTACACTAAAAATATTTTGATAGAAACATCATATTACAAAATTGAAGACTACGTGTGAGATAAAGATGTATGGAAAGACGACATGGCTCCAGAATCCACACAAATTTGATTCAAAGTGTATTCCACAGCATTTAAGTTTATTTGAAAAGAGCAATCCCTAGAGTTTCTTGCTCGTTCTTCTCAGGGAGGTCAGCGTAGTGAACGAGCAGTAGCTTAAATGTGACGTTTTCAAGTGTAAATTTATTTTACCTATGGAATAAATAATCTTTGACTTTGACTTTGACATAAAACAATAGTATTGTTCTTTACGTCGTCCTGGAAAGTACTGCCACCTTACCTATTTCTGCCGCCAAGCAGCAATGTCAGCATTACTGTGTTCCGGTTTTGAAGGGTAAGGGTACTGGTAAATTACAGGTACATGGGACTTGTCAACTTATGTCTCGGGGTGACGGGCGCAGAGGCAGCAGATCTTTGCGGTTTAAAGCTCTGAGCGGCACTGCAACTGTTATGGATAGACGTGTCGCTTACCATCAGACGCCCGACTTGTTCGTCCCGTCACTCGATATTATAAAAAAGAAGTAGATATTAGTAAGATATTATAAGTTTTAAACCTCAAACAAGAATTTTATCATAGAAAGTTCAGACCTGTAATTGGTGTGGTTGGGAGGCGCATTATTGATATTAATACATATTGCCAGACATATAATCTTCACAAAAATCTCTTTAAATAACACAATTATTTCTACCGTACGCATAAATCAACATGGATATAAATATATCCATGTATTTATATATATATAAATACATGCATTATGTATAAAGCAATTACATAAGTGTGTTAAGCCGAATGAACTTGGCACCAACCTACATACGATCTGAACCCTGTACCTCCGACCGGCCAGCCGGCCTGCCCGCCCTGCTGTTTACATACTTATTTATTCACAATAACAAGTAACTCGTGCTTGGACGCCGATGTAAGTAACGAGTGAAAGCCTTATGGATGCGGCATTACGGTATAAAGACGTGTACGAGGAAGCCAGTGTCGTGAAATAACTAGTTGATTTTGCGCTGTAGCCGCTTTGTAAAGCATGTTTGTTGCTAAATATTTTAAATGCACAAATTGTATTCAATTTTCATTCAGTTTATTTTGTCCACCACCAGGTAACACTGCATTCTTGTTCTTTGTTTATGATATTTTCATAGCCGATATTTTATGATTGAGATGAAGAACTCCCCACCTGTCACTTACATGCCTAACTCGTGGCGATATTAAAGATCATAAATTATATAATACTTTTTACGTCTTTATAAAAAAACTACACTTTGGCTTTATATATATACATATATACATAGATTCATCACGTGGGTCTCCCACTGGGGAAGGCAGAGACTATAGATCTCCATTCCAGTTTTTCTAACACTCCTTTTTTCCTGTGTCCAGTTTAGGGGAACATATTGTAATAATGTGTCTTTAACCTGATTGAGATTGTTATATCGATGTCAATCTTATCCCACGTTTTCCTAAACGTTGGCTCCATTATTTTGTGTTACTATAATTTTTTGTCCAACCTAGCTACTAAATCATCATAATGCTTATTTGTCTCATTCTATCTTTATGACGTATACGTATACGCAATATACGACGCAAAGCTCTTATTCCTTCTTTCATGTTTTTTCTGTTTTATTCAACATACACTACCGTACGAACTATATAGAAACTAAAATCAACTTCTTTAAAATATCTACAACAGTATCTTTTGCACATTTTTTTTTTCTTTTGCAAAATAACACTGAGCAGACTATGTACGAACACAAACCACGTCCATTTTCCTTCCGACATCACGAAATAATCAAACAGTCAAGTACAAGAGGTGGTGGGCATTCTTTGTCGAATTTCGGCTCGGCCGCTATATAAGCCGCACGTTCAAGCCCAATTGTTAGATAACCACGTTACACTGGCACCAAACAGTGCTTTCGATTTAATAAAACCTATTAACCTAAATCACCATGCAGAAATTCGTAAGTGACGCGTTGATTATTTGTCATATAGAAATGTGAAAATTCGTTAATGGTATTTGAATTATCGTAAAGTGTGCTCATGCCTTTGGAATCCCATTGGAAGAGACTATCTATGTCCACTTGGCATGATCCTGGTAAACCTCTCGTGCCCCACTTACATTCATCTTTTTATATAAACCCTCCTATTCTTTTCAATATGGGCTTCACCTCTTTTACGGACGTCTTTCGTGGCTGACTTCTTTCAATGCTGTCGTCCACGTTGGTTTATGTATCTCTTGCGCCATTGTACTTTCATTCATCCACTTCATATACCAAAATCTGAATACAACATTCTCTATTTTTGTCCTTTCGTCCATTTTCAAATCACATCGTTCACGAATCACGGTATTCGTCACCGTGTCACTTAAAATATATAAAAATAGACACATGTGACGTTTTTAGACAGTCTAAGTCAATAAAAAATCATGAGAAAAACGTGTGATACAGAGGTTCTGTTAAGTTTTTCCTTGAATGGATCTCTTTTAACGACTTCAATAAAAACATTCTCATGTCGCTTTTTCTAAGGTCAATTGTCAAAAATTCTGTCTTGCAAGTAGCTTTCTTCTTATATGAAGTGTATTAAGTGACCAACCAATCTATGGATTAATCGTTTTTCCAAAAACCATTTTCTTGGCCTTGAGCCGTCACTGGACCATCGTAATAAGACCTTCGATATTAGAATCGTCCTTCTCAGTTTTATCTCTTGAAGCCCAAGTTAGAGTGGTGTTGTGTTCCTATCATAAATCATCGGATGTGTCTCGTCTTCGTTCAGCACTTAACTTCAATCTAAGTGCCTCATACTTGCACTTAAACTATAGGTATATTATTTTATTGACCGTCTCCACAGAGGAAGAATTTACAATTTACAACTTTTTATCTGATAGACAAAAAAGATGAACAGTTGGTTGGTTGGCCTTTAAATCTTTAGTAATGTAACTTTTGCTGTTACACATTGCCTGACCGGTCATTAAATTGATAAGATTGTTAAAATTAATCCCTGAAGCCAAATTCTCAGACGTCTGGAATTTGTTTCAAAGCACAAACGAATTAGGCATTGTGCTTATCTTCGTTAATTATAAATTACTAGATAGCATTATCCGTGACATATTTGACTAAAAAATCACTCTTAATATATTGCTAAACTAGAAACAAATCCGTATATAATTATTATAAGGTTCGTTAGCAATTGCCTGTCGGATTTTTAATTATTTGCGTGGGAGGGTTCCTGAGGTTGAATGTTCAATAGAGGGTTAATCGTTTTATTTAGACTAAATTTCTAGGATGTTGTGGACCTGTTGGGGTTTAAATAATTCAATTTCCAATTAATGTTGTGAATTAATTTGCAGATTGTATTTGTTCGTAAATTATCTCAAGGCTTAACATCAGGAATGGCGCAGTTGTGTCATATATTACACACTGTGAAACTTACATTCGACACAATAGCAACCAATCCAGTTTTATCATAAGCAAATGATTTGTTTTACAGATAGCTTTCGCCGCTCTTCTGGCTTGCGCCTCTGCGGCGCCCGGCGTCGTCCTCGCCCACTCTGCCCCCATCGTAGCCACAGTCCACGCAGCCCCGGTAGTCCACGCTCACGCCGTTCCAGTAGTCGCTGCCAAGACCACTATTACCAAGTCTTCTCAAGTCGTTCACCATGGCACTCCTGTTGTCCACGCTGTCCACACTCCAGTCGTTCACGCTGCGCCCGTCGTGCACGCCGTCCACACTCCCGTAGTGCACGCCGCTCCCGTTGTCGTTAAGACCGTTCATGCTGCTCCGGTCGTCCACGCCGTTCATACTCCTGTTGTTCACACTGCCCCAGTCGTCATCAAAACCGCTCCTGCTGCTATCACCCACAGCAGTTCCTCAGTTGTCCACCACGCCCCCGTTGTGAAAACTGTCCCTATCCTTGCCGTTCATCATTAAAATAATTAATAATTATAATTTCCTTCACAATGAAGGTTTAGAATAAACGAAGTACCTCCCACAGCTGATTGTTTAATTTAATGTTAATTTTGACCTTATAGTTACTGTTTCTACTTCGAGAGAAATTGTTTATTTTGTTCATTACAATGTTCTTTACCCCTTTTAATTGAATTTGTTAATTTGCTTTAAAATAAGTCATTGAATTTCCGTCTGTGAAAATGTTCAAAGGTCCTAATTGCCCTGGGTGCTAAACAAGATTAGTATGATAAAATACCCTACTAATAGCGTCACAGTAACTGCCGTCTGTGGTATAGTTAATCCACTTAAAAAAATCTGGAGCAATGCCTTAAAACTGGTCAAGAAACGAACGAAGTGAATTTAGAAGCATAAAAACATTTCTTGAAATTAATTATACTGTTTTAATAATTTTCTTAGAATATGTACCAGCAACATAAACGGTTAATAGTCCGGTCTATTAATAAAGTATTTTTGTACAAAGAAAAATAAACCTAATTTATTGTGAAATTTATTTAGTAATTAAGGATCCTTGGATTTGCGAGTTTCGCAATGTTGTGTCCTTACATGCAAATATTTTTATATAAATACGAATAAAGACAGGGCCCACATGTACATAATTAATGAATATTTATAGAAAATATTGTGAAAACAGACAATGAGAAGGGAGGAGTCAATAGTTAGTTTAGACAAGTATAACTGGCTTAATGATAGTTGTTTTTTCAACTTATTTACAAGTTCTTAAATACAGGAAACAAGATACAAGCAGATAAAAAAACTGTGATATGCTACATCAGAGATTTGTAAATAATTTTAACTAGGCGACGGACAATAACTTTATTTTGAGTAGATAAGGTTATTTTTTGGTGGCAAAAGCTGCCAGCCTTCTGATAAACAAAGGTTTTGACGAACTGACAGTTCCTTGGCCAGCGGCTTCGCCCGTGGGCCTTAGTGACATGGGGTTTCAATCTCAAAACATACAAAGCTTGTTCACAAGTGTATGTATTTCAGCTTTATACAGCGTAGTCAATATGGCCTACCCATATGTATGGTGTAAGGTAATCATAAACTGACGTAATCGACATTTTTATCGAAATTAAGTTATAAACATGTCTGGGACCAGCACAACGAGATCTACAACCCTCTATAAGCAGTTTTTTTTATATCTTACTTAGTGTCAGTTTTATTGATAAGTAAAATCAGTGATTTACTAACTTTAGGTGCCAACATTATGAAACTTACCGAAATGCAAATACGCCCGGTTTAATAAAATAAAATATAATGAAAAAAAAACTAACGCAGTAGAATAAGTTTTTCTATATTACTAACAAGTGGTCCTATGTATCTAAAATAATAAGCTATTGTTGTTTTTGTCACAAATGAAAGTATTTTTTTAGATCTAAATTGTTGTTTTGTATCCAATAAGTAAGTGTACTTTTTCACAAAAAATATGAAACAGTCCGTCCAGGGAAGCACTGTCACCTTACCTATTTCTACCGCCAAGCAGTACTGTGTGCATTACAGCGTTTCTGTTTTGAAGGGTTAAAGGTCCTGGTGAAATTACAGGCACGTGGGACTTTTCTACTTATGTCTCAGGGTGACGGGCGCAGTGGCAGTGCCTCTCAGATCTTTCCGATTTAAAGCTCTGAGTGACACTGCAACTGCTACGGACAGGCATGTCACTTACCACCAGGCGCAAGACTTATTAGTCCCGTCACTCGGTATTACAAAAAAAAACTGGCCAAAAATGCCTGCCATATTTGTCCCGGTCACGGAGCATCACTTGCAACAAGATATCATCCTCGTAAAGAATTTTAATTAAGCCTTTATGTGCAATGCAGTGTATATATCATGTCGTAAACATTCATGACATGTGGTGTGATTATTTTAAAATTACACTTGCGCTATTATGATGACATGATACGTTTAAAGTGATGGAATAAACTTAAGGTGATATGGTGAAAAACCAGCGAATCGTTTATTAAGTACAACTAAGCAAAAGCTTACATTTTCTTGACATGAAATGAAACAATTTTATTCGGATCAAAATTGCGTATTCGCAGACTTGGTGTAATAAAGTTACATCTGCAAAATGATAACTTTTCAGAAGAAGGGTTTTTAAGATTCTACGAATGGAATAAGTCGATCATTTTTTTTAGGTTTAAGTAGGAGAGTTGTAAAATTTCATATATATATAATTTTTTTATGCGTTTTGTTTTATTTTTATATAATAAAAACACTTTTGATATGAGCATTTGTTTCGTATATTTGTTTTTGCTAATATACCAATGTTTCGGGTTCTTTACTGGTTATACATTGGTTTTTTGACGATTCAAAAATACGTTGCGATTCTTGGGTAATTATCATATTAATTTTCTATTTATCTAATTTCGGTGGTAATTATTCAAGTATTTTGTCGTGGAATATTAATAATATTTCAGGATACCACGCTCGAGTATTAAATAAATACTTCATGATAATATTCCAGAACATAATATAAATAACATAAATGCCACCGAAATTAGCTTGAGAAAACTAACTTGAAAATTACTCACTTATGATTTCTGATTATCTATGAACCCCTAAACTGAGCAATTACGACTAAAATTTTTTACGTTTTACGTAATTGTAAGGTTTTTACTTTAAAATTTACATAGTTTGTGAAAGAGGTTACATTTTGCAGCTAAGTCGAAAATATTTACTAACTTTTAATATTGGGTATACATTACTCTATAAATAGAAAATTCCTAAAGGTTTCCACAGAAAATCTTATTTCAGAAAAAGTGTTTGCATAAAAGTATACCGAGTTACCGGATTTATTCGGATTATACTGAATCCCGCTGGTTATAGAGTACTTTATTGGAGACAGTTTGTCGCTTATTTTATAGTTGTATTCCATGCAACGTAAAAAAAATTTGTGATATACGGTTGTTTTTTCTAAGGTATATAACCTGAGCTGTATTAGCATTTTTTGCTCGTTAAAAACACTAACTAGTTCTCTTTTTGGGAAGTTTTTACAGAAAATATTGATTAATTAAATTAAGTTACAATTTCTTATTTCAATGTTATTATTTAAGTAAAAATTTTGTTACATTATTCATATTTTTTGACTGAACAAGGAGCAGTAAAATCAGTTTTGTTTATTTTTTATTTTTCTCTTATTTATAGGAGTGTGCATCGTGCCTTAATACTTGCCAAGCTCGAGAAGGTTTACTAAGAATAGCGCGACGGATACCAACTGCATTCACCAACCTGTCCATACGTGGCATGTCAAATACTTGGAAAAACAGCAAAATTTTAACACAAGTACTCAGTGCCTATAAATTGAAGCCTTTGGCCCAAATCAGTTAGTTCTTCAACAAGTCGATCACAATTCGCAATAAAAAAAAGTCGGAAATATGTTACGTTTGGTAAGTTTGAATTTAGATTTTTATGTCTCTATTTTGTTAACTAGGTACTTTATGATTGGTTGAAATTTTAAAACATACTTTCTTTAGTTCGAATTTCAAAAATTTATGCATAAAAAGCAAACTTTTCCAAAACAAATTTTAGTGCAACTTGGTTTTTGAATTTCAATATGGAATTTAACTCGAAATTTTTTTATAAAATATTTCTTTTCCTACATGTCCGACGAGTAACTCTTATGGCCTCGCAGTAACCAACTTTACAGCGAGCGGGTCGTATGTATTTTTATGTGGGAGATAAGTTTTCTCTACTTTTATTTGCTCGCGTTTTATTTGTGCGCAGTACGCGATTGTTGCATGAGATTATTTAAGGAACTATAGTCTTTACGGTAAAGACATAAAGTTTAAAATAGGACTGGAGTTCACTACCGATATCTGTATTCGAAAGCTACTATTTGGGTAGTCCTAAGGTTAGAGTGAGTAGACATTCTTTAAATAAAAAAAAACAAAAAGTATCTTAAGTAACTCGCCTTCAAAAATAATCAAAAATATTATTTTTATGTCCTGACATTTGCTAAAAAACAACCTTATGCTAATTTATGTTTGTTTAAAGTCATGAATTTATTTTTCAATATATACGTCTAAGTAATTAATAGATTCAGGCGTTACCTTGCGGAAGTCCATGTTAATAAAAATGGAATTAAATTAATATGCTACTCCGCGAACCCAGTGAAGGTTAAAATGCGCAAAATAACTGCACTTGTGTTGGATATTTTTTCATGCCCTCCGCATAAAATTAATAAAATAAGTAACACAAGCTTGCGCTTGTGTACAATACAGTCACAGCTACCACCACAAAAAATATACCCAACACGTGTTTCGCCTCTCCACGAGGCATCTTCAGGGGCTGTTGATTGCTCGACCCTCGGCCGAAGATTCTTCAGCCGAGTGTCGAGGTTTGCGACTTGTTGCGCTTATGTTATTTATTTTAGTTAGGGTGGGAAAATTAACTGCATGAAAAAAATATTCAACACAGGCGCAGCTATTTTGCATGATTTAACCTTCCCTGGGTTCGCGGAGTAGCAAATTAATTTACTTCCATTTTTATATACATGTAAATTAATATATGATTAGAATAATGCTCTATGTTTTTTAATACAGTTGCTCAAAACGTGGTATTTTTCGCACTACAAATCGTGCGGAAAGTTGGATTTCTCGCACTAGTGCTTTTTACTTTTCCAGTTTTTTTAAAATTTACTGTTGTTTCAAATCTTAAGCACAGAACTAAAGAAGTTGTATATTTATTTAATATTTATGTGCTTTGTGACGTACATAAGTCATTCGTCATTAAAACTTATATTTATTTACAAATACTATATAATGAACGTATCGAGTGGAGGTCCACAGCCTCTGCCTACCCCTGAATGGGTGACAGGCGAGATTTTTATGTATATATTTATTTGTTCTATGTATTACAGATAAATTGTATCTCACTACCGTGCACGGGTTCCTAAAGAAGTTTAAACAAAAGTACCAGGACGTCATAATAAGAAAAGTGGTTACAGACCGATATTACAGAAAATAAACAAAAACAGCACGTTAGAACTAGATTTCCATAGACTTTTAACTAATGGTTGCAGTGGTTGTATTTCATTATTTTAATTTACTAGCAGAAAATGAGTTTTGTTTAAATACTGTTTTATTTTACTTTCAATGTAGTTTTTTCGCAAATGTATTAAAAAACGTCGTTTGATACACGTGCGGATTTGTCATTTTCACTTGTCTCGCGTCTTGACCCTCGCCTCTGGCTCGGGCCAAGAAGCCTCGAGACTCGTGAATAATGACTAACTTTCCGCACTTATATCAAAAATAACTATAATGC